TCTTTTTATATCTTTTTTGTATCTTAACATATACAAACTGTCTGAGCATCATTAATATGTACTCTTATAACTATTTAAAAGATTCAATTCGTATTCCGTAAGATTGACCCTATTAAAAGTTATCGCCCTTTGTGCGGTAAACCTTGTTATCGCTACTACTTCGAAACCATAAACCGTACAAATATGAAACCTTTACTAAAGTCTTCGACTAATTGAGAGGGTTCTGGAATCTATTCATTGTGAAAGTATTTGGTTACTCCTTCAATGAGTTATTGCCCTTGAAAGTCTCTGAATTTTAGAAATAATTAAAAATTTTCAAAACGAGAAGGTATAGAGACATGAGCTCAAGTGCATAAGATTCATTGACCTTTGAGCTTAAAATTCATGTAAAGGTCAAAGGTCAAGGTCATTCCAAAACTGAGAAATTTAGCTCTTTTTATATCTCTTTTGTCTTTCAACATATGCTTAATGTCTATGCATCATTAATATGTACTTTTAAAACTGTGTCTTAGATTTCATTCTCGTCTCTTAAGATTGACCCTATAAAAAATTATTGCCCATTGTACGAAAAACATTTTTATTGCTATTGCTCCAAAACCGTAAACCGCAAAGACATGAAAACTTCTTTAATGTCCTATGGGATTTTAGGCAAAACTTTTATGTTCAATTGCAAAAGGATCTGGTGACTCCTTGAATGAGTTACTGCCCTTAAATGCTTTTGTGCTTACTATTAAACATTATAACTTTAAAACTATAAGTCATAGAGACATGGGGTTAATTACAATGTGACCCTTGACCTTTGACTTTGAATATGACTTAAAGGTCAAAGGTCAAGGTCACTTAAAAAAAAAAAAAATTCATATTTTTTTCTTTTTTTAAGCCATTCCTGGTTTCTTTTTTATGAAATTTAATTTTTAATAGACAAATAGTAAATGAAATTGAAATTCAAAAGGTGGAAAGACCTCTTATTGTTCTGTGAACAATAAGTCTCCTAGTTCTTCTTCTTATTTTTCTTCCGCTGATTTTTTGTTTCGAGATTTATCGAAAAGACTTTTTGTTCATCGTAAAGGTCATTAAAAGTTAGGAACAAATTTGACCAAACGCGTATGAACTATGACCCCTTTTGAAGTTATTGCCCCTTTCGCAAGAAATGCTTGTTATTGCTACTCCTCCAAAACCGTAAACCGTAGAGGTATGAAACATTCACTAAAGTCTTTGACTAATTGAGAGGACTCTGGAATCTATTCATTGGGAAAGTATTCGGTGACCCCTTCAATGAGTTATTGCCCCTGAAACTTTTTTAATTTTAGAAATAATTAAAAATTTTCAAAACGAGAAGTGATAGAGACATGGGACCAACTGCATAAGATTTATTGACCTTTGATCATGAAATTCATGCAATGGTCAAAGGTCAAGGTCATTCCAAATTTGAGAAATTAAGCTCTTTTATATCTTTTTTGTCTTTTAACATATACAAACTGTCTTAGCATCATTAATATGTACTCTTAAAACTATTTTAAAGATTTAATTCGTATTCCTTAAGATTGACCCTATTAAAAGTTATCGCCCTTTGTACGAAAAACCTTGTTATTGCTACTACTTCAAAACTGTAAACCGTAGAAATATGAAACCTTCACTAAAGTCTTCGACTAATTGAGAGGACTCTGGAATCTATTCATTGCGAAAGTATTCGGTGACTCCTTCTATGAGTTATTGCCCCTGAATCTTTCTTAATTTTAGAAATAATTAAAAATTTTCAAAACGATAAGTGATAGAGACATGGGACCAACTGCATAAGATTCATTGACCTTTGATCATAAAATTAATGCAAAGGTCAAAGGTCAAGGTCATTCGAAATTTGAGAAATTGTGTTTTTTTATATCTCTTTTGTTTTTAAACATATACTTAATATCTTAGCATCATAAATAAGTACTCTTAAAACTATTTTAAATATTTTATTTTTGTTCCCTAAGATTAACCCTTTTAAAAGTTATTGCCCCTTGTGCAAAAACCTTGTAATTGCTACTCCTCCGAAACTGTAGACTGTAGAGACACCAAACCTTCACTAATGTCTTTAGGATCTTGAGGCATAACTACACTGTATAAGTGCAAACGGATCTGATGACCTCTTATATGAGTTATTGCCCTTTAACGACTTTGTACTTATTATTAAACAATATAACTTAAAAACTATAAGTCATAGAAGCATGGGGTCAATTGCATCGTGACCTTTGACCTTGAATGTTTTCTCAAGGTCAAATTCATTCAATTTTTTTTTATTTTCATTTTTTTCTATCCTTTAAGACAATTTTGGTTTCTTCTTCATGGAATCTTATTTTAAGGAGTCATATATAAAACAAAATTGAAATTCAAAGAAGGTGGAAAGACCTCTTATTGTTCTGTGAACAATAAGTCTCCTAGTTATGAACTGCGACGCTTCACCCCGGCATATTTCATGAATCGCGTTAGCGCTCCATGATAAATATGCCAGATGGTACACCGGCGTAAAGCGTTGTAGTTCATATGTCTCATGAATCCTCAAAAGTTAAATTCATTTTTTATATTCACATTATTTGTCTCATGAGTTGCCGCAAAATTTCTGCCATTCAACTGTCATTTTTAAGGCAATACAATGGAGATATTCACTTACAATTATATCCAAGAAGGATATGGAAATAACGAACAGTATTCAATCTCAACGTCCATTAAACAAATATACAAAATAAGAGCAGAGCAAACACGGACCCCCGAAACACCAGAGGTGGGATCAGGTGCCATGGAGGAGTGAGCATCCCCTGCTGACCGGTCACACCCGCCGTGTGCTCGTTGTCATAATCAGGATATAACGGAAAACATCCGTGGTCAAATCAGTGTATAAATAATGGACTAACAATTGGCATGAAAAACATCAGTCAGCATTTCATTCAATAATAAATTGTATTTGCTGACAAGGTCATTGTATCGACCATAGAATTTACGAAATGATGACTTCAGACGAGACCGCTGATATTCTTACATACAACAAATTTTGAGGCAAGACTTCCTGAGAAGCCCTTAGTTAAAACCTCTCATGGGGTGCCAGGAGCTCCCTGGATCGGTACAATTTTTCAATGTTCAATATGCAAAAGTTTACAAAATCAAAAAATGGAATTAAAAAAAACCTGATTATTTATCATTGCTGATATTTCATTTTCACAATTATACGTAGATATTTAGTTTCATATTAAATAAATATAGATAGATAGATAAAATATACATTTAATAACAAAGTACAGGTTTGCGTATTGAAAATGAATAGGTGATATCACGATTTCGAATAGGTGATATCACCTAGGGGTAGACAAATAGATTTTTTCAGTACTTGCCCTCGGACAGGTTACCATCGTAAAACTACTTGTCCTACCAAAAAATCTGCTTGTCCCACCGTTTTTCTTAAAATACATAGAACTGAAGCATTGATATTAATTTATTTTTGAGTGAGACACCTAAAATCACGAAATTTAGATGAAAATGATTAATTTTAAGGAGTATTTTTCCTCAAAATTCTGCAATAAAATACATGACTACATGTACACTTTTTAAAAAAAGTAAAACTGTATTTATTAAATGGAAAAAAGTGAAGATATCGGACACTGGTCAATCTCATAAAACCTACAAACAAAACGAGTCTGTGAACAAAACACTACTGTATGTTGTGCGATTGCCAGGGAACAGCAATAACAACAATTTTAATACCACTAGCATCTGTATTCACAGTATGAATTTAGCACATGCATTTTGACAATAAATGTCTCAATTCCCATACCACATTTTTGACGACATCAGTAAGTCCATGTTTTACGACATATGCATATTTTCACAACACGTTAATGTGTAAATTCAAGAGGAGTTCCGACTATCCGATGTACGTATGTACAGCCGATGCAGTAGTCAACATCAGTGAAAACAGGTACTTTGCTGTGATTCATGATACTTTAAAAGCAATAACATAAAATATGTTTGAGTATTGTACATTATTTATTTTTTTTTTGTTAATTGGAAAACAACTTGTCCGCGGACAGGCACCTGTTATCAAATTACTTGCCCGTCACCCAAAACTTGTAGTCCCGGGCGTCGGGCAGTGCTATTTGTCTTCCTATTTGACAAATAGGTAATATCACTTTTTGCCAGTAAATACTAATATGGCGCCTTATATATTTTACTTGTTGATCCAACACATATTTTAGTTTTACTAAAGCAAAACATGGATACTATGGGAGCTCACTGCTTACATTACCACTTGTTTTTTTTTCTCTTTGTTGTCCAATTTAATGAATTTTTGAGGGAAGGGTTAAATATGAAGATATTTTCCGTTTCTGCTCCTCAAAATTACTACAGAAAATGAATTTAGATCTTTTTCCTTAAAATATATAAAAATCAAAATTGTTTGATGTAACTGTAATAAGATGTTTTTAAATACAATGTATATCATATAAATATAATTTTCAAACTAAACTACAAAGAACAGTAAAAAGTGCGGGTTTTTTGCTTGGTTAAACCTCAAAACGTGTTTTAAACAATTTTTCATCTTTATATGACTTCTTAACAATGTACGAAATAACACACAAAAATACAAAGCAAATGAGCTAATATTTCGAGTAAAAAATATATATAGGAAATTCGGATTGGCAAATAACTGTAAATATTAAATTTGGTCATACATCTGTTAGACCTTATATGATATCATCACTGTATGCATAAAAGAAAAAAAATCTAGGCATCACTTGATTGAGAACAGTTTTTTTTTTCATTCTCCATTTCATGGAAAAAAGAAAATAACCTCGGCCTAAACTTGGCTCGAGCTCTCAATAAAAAAAGCATTAAAAATTAATCTAATTGACCCAAAAACATAGCCATAATATTTTCTTGAATCTATAAAATTTTTCATATATCACTTCGTAATAATAAATTCATATCGGTTTAGGAATTTGTTATTTTAGCAAAATTTTTTCTATTTTCAGGAAACGAGGAAGAATTAAGATTTGAATTTGTAGGTGGTGAACTGCATATTTACTTGAAAGGTATTATTTATTATTTAATTTATTCACAAATAACATGTTCTTAGATAAAAAAAAAATGAAATTAATAACGTCATTATACTTTAACCAAAGACGCCAACAAAATAAATTTTTAAAGCAATGCTGTGATTTTAAAATAAAACTAAAGTATTTTTGATTATCAGCTTTGCTTAGAATGGATTTTAATTGCAAACAAAGAAATGATAATGTTACAAGAAACCAAATTATAAAAACATAATAAAAATCTTCTGACATCATGCCGATTCAAATTTTCTTTTTAGCCCCTATAATGGAAAAAATAGGTAAACTCAAAGCGATAATCTCCGATGTGGATGGTAATGAAGAGATATTTGAGAAAGTGATTAATGAAATCCCTAACCTGGAAGAATTCTTTGCTCAAAATACACATTCTACTTTTGAAAACATAACGAAAGGATCTATTACAATTGTTCTGCAAGCGGAGTCTACGTATGCCATGACGAAGTTAAAACAGTTCATAGAAAATGAGGATTTTTCTAAATTTTTGGCACAGTTATTTAAATCTAAGGATGTACGACCATTTTTGACAAACGAAAAGTACAACATTAAAGTTGAGATCAGAGAAGTGAAAGAACCAGCAGGTAATTTAATAACTATACTCATTAAAGAGATTTATAACAGATACCTTTCGGAATGGCTAAACAGACATAAAAATGTATTCTTTGTATTCCAGATCCAACTTTTGGTGTTTTGCAATCCATTGATCGTCCAAAATTAGAGACTACGTTTAGATCGCGTTTGGAGAGATGTCACAGTTTCCTTTTGGAGGAACTAGAGCCACGATGTTTACTGATGGATCAAGCTGTTGCCGAAATCTTTGGGTCGTGTTTTGATAAGTTCAACCAGCCGGGCTTGAGAACGATAGAAGCTGAAACCTTCTTAGAGTATCTTAAGAATCAGTCCGAGGAGAAAATTAAATTTGTTCTAGAAAAGCTGAAAGAGAAAAACCAATATATATACGACCAGCTGTTTCCAGATACATCGAAATATCAGGATATTGGTAATGAAATAAAATCATAAGAATACGTTCCTTTTTAACATTTTTATCTGAAATATTTTATTTTACGTTTTAAATGATTTTTATACCGTGTAAAAATACTTAAATTTTTCTAATTGCTCAAAATGTGAAATTTTATCTGTAAGTAGCAGAAAGTAATAGCCAATTTACATCCCCTTCATAAAACAGACAATTCTGTAAATGGAATAGAATTAAGAAAATGGATAAAATAACTCTGTATGTGTGTGAGGGTGTGTGTATGTGAGGGTGTGTGTGTGTGTGGGTGTGTTTGTACACGTGCATGCAAGTGTAAAAAATTATTATCCACAGTCAAGCTGAAAGTGCATGGAAACATTACACATCAGGAACAATGCAGACTTAGGCCTCTAAAACATCAGAGGTTGAAGCAGGTGCCAAGGATGAGTATGCATCCGCTTTCCGATCGGTCGCATACGCCTTGTTATCAATTAATTCAGTGTGTAAATATTAATAAAAGTCTTACAATTGTTATTTAAGAAATAAACAAGTTATTCAGTGAACATTGTGTTATGTATAGCAATTATGGAAAATATGCAAGCAGAGCTATTGCTATTCATAATGTCATGTTCAGTGATTAATCGTTGTTCATTACTTATATTTGCATTCTTTGATGTTGTCAAGAATATCAAAGGAAGCTCTGGCTTACATAAGGACACGGATCCTTGTCTTCAGTAAAAATAAAAACTGCTTTAAAATCAGTAGACCTAATTAATGTATATGTCCCTTTTTTAAAATAAACTATCAAACATTTTTTAAACTTATATTTGCCTCTCAGCCACAGATATTTGAATACAAGCTGTGTCGTCACCACATTCTCATATTTTGTTTTGATACAGCCGTGACGTCATCGTTCAACGTTAATGAAACCCTCAATATAAGGGCTGGGCGCTAATATCGATATTTCAATATATTGCAATACAATGACAAAATATATCGTATCGCAATACGATTTTGTAATTTCGATATATTGGCAATATGATTTCATTAAAGAATTTTGTCATTAAATATAAAAATGGACTTATGAAAGTTTGTTATTAAGCCAAACATTAAGACAGAAGTTGTTTTGTGGGAACAATTGAGAGCATAACTTTAATTGTCAATTGATAATGCCTTCTTGTGGATGTATGTAAATGTCGGTTTTAAGGTCAAAGTAAGTGGTTTCTTTTTTTTGTGTATAATATTTAAGAAAGAAATAACATGTTTATAAACTTAAATGGGAATTGAAGTGGGTCGGTCACGTGATCAAATCCTGTGAAGTCCGAAGTTTGATACAAAATTAAGTATGTTCATATTTATCAAAATTATTTTCAAACGACCATTGACAAACTAGGTATATTTACGAGTTCCTTTTATATATAAGGAGCTGCCTTTGTTAAAAAGCCCGGGATTTAATTGGTCGTTTAAAGATTCTTTTTTTTATTTAGAAATCGAACAAGTCAAAGGAAATATTTTGGACACTTTACCGGAGTTACTGGATATAGTGAGTATTCCCTCATTCCAGACACCTCTGTTGAGTGCTGGGGTAATAACACCGGAAGCACTGGATTTTATACACAAGAGCAGTAAAAGTTGTAGAATAGAAACTTTGCAGTTTGTCAAATTGATTTTACATAGAGGACCAGAGGCAATAAAACTTTTTCTCTCAGCTTTGGAAAATTCATGTGGCGAAAGCATATCTAAAAATCTTCTACGGCCAAGGAATGTTGAAACGATGAGTGCTCGTAAGTAAAACATTTTAAATTTACTTTAAAATGATTAACTCTCATTTTTAACATTCGATTGATGTATTTTGTAGCTCTAACGCTGCAATGCATAACTGAAGAACATCTTGTAAATTAATGATTATGTCTTTGAAACATTAACACGTATATTAGTTATATACATTAGATAATAACTTTTTTTTTTACACTTTTACAAAATTTTCTATAAATTCAGAACGGAGAGGACACCCAAAGATAAACTACAGAGTCTTCAACGAGGAAAGCGGATTGCTGTTTGAAGGAAAATTTGTACTAGAACTCGTCAGACAGGGTTTGTAAAGAGAAGCTCCTAAGCTAATCATAATGATGTAAACAGTTAATTAAAATGATCTATGATATTCGTCAGAATTTAGAAGAGATTGTTTTTTAATAATGGTACTTGGTTACCATAGCCGGAAGAAAGGAAGAGGACAAGAATATATTTAAGAAAGACAAAGAGCCAACAGTAGGTGCAAATTTGGAAACACTACCTGAAGACGATTTGTCCGAGACTGTAAGTTATTTTTCTTTATCAAAATATAGCTTAATTCTATAGGTTTAAAAGTAACTACGTATGTATAATTTTGAAAAAGAAAATAAAATAAATCAATGTTAGAGGTTAACAATTGTCTCCAAAAGCTCCTGTACTTTATAAAAAAGTTAATTTTACAGCGTTACAGAAAAATTACTGTTGATAATCTAAACTAACTGTACATCCATCATGGGTTTTAATATGAAATTACTAATTACCATGCAGAGTGGTAATTTTTGTTGGCTTTGGTGTATGAAAGAAAACACCAATCAATTTCCATACTTACCCACCACCAAATCATAACCAACGAACACTTGCAATAACTGTATGTATCTGTGTTTCCTTCCTGTACATTTTACAACAATGAACTTTATCTATTCAAACCATTTTGGCTTCAAAATTATGTATTCAGAAAAAAAGTTATAATTAAGGTAAGTCACTCCTGAAATTTGTTATATCAAGGATTTTTTGAGAATATCTGAGTGTGTTAGCGCTATGACATGGCAGCTCCACCTCTGACTATATAACTTGATTGCTCTTTTGTTACTAAGGTTCTAGTTTTAAGATTTGTTGAGCTTTTATATAACACGTCGCTTAATCAAAAGGTTGAATCCTTTGTTCTCTAAATTTCCGTTTTTAAGTGAAATTATAGTTTAAAGTTTTTAATTTTAAGTTCACTGAACCGTGACTGTATTGCTTTTTATAGGTACGACCTATTTTACTCGTTGTTTGAATTGTGTTGCCAAGTCGTTCCATAAATTGTTTTACTCAACTTTTCTATTTTGACTCTATTGGGATTTTACCGGTACGAGCTATCTTTCTTTTTGCTCAGATTGGGTTGTCAAGTCGCTCCACAAATGTTCCTACTGAGCTAAATATACTTTGACTTCAGTACGATTCCCTGTACGAACTATCTCTCTATTTGGTTGGATTGTGTTGACAAGTCACTCCACGTTTTTTCGTACTCAATTAATATAGTTTCTGCACGATGTGTTTTGTAAGGCCAAACACTGTTGGTGTGTCGGGTCGTGCCAAACATTTTCGACTTAGAAGGGGCACGAAGGGTGGACGCAGGTTCATAAGACGTATCCACACTGTCTGTGTTGGGCGGCTGAGCTATGTGGAACATCAACTTGGGGTTAATAGAAATAATTTAGTGTACATCTTCAATGATACTCTCAACAATTCCTGTTCTATCGCAAAAGTTCCAAATGAAACATGTGAGACCTTCCCTATTCCAACATTGATTCATCACAGGACAAAGAGAATTGACAATACAAGCTGTCGAGATGGTTCGAATCTTTTGAAAATTGAAACAAGTAGAGCTCCAATAGCCAACTCGTCAGGAACTCTTTCACTATGTACTCTCAATTGTAGATCTTCAAGAAATAAATCAGTATCCATAAATGATTACATTCAGTCAAATAACATCGATCTCATGGTGCTGACTGAAACATGGCTAGGATCAGACACAGATAACGCCATTTTGTCTGAACTAATACCAAACGGATATAATTTCATAAATAAACCAAGGGTAGATCGAAGGGGTGGAGGCCTGGCGATTATTCACGAAAAACAGGTTAGTGTGAAACCTGCGAACAAAGATGCCAAATACACTCATTTTGAACATCTAGAGTGCTCTGTTGGAGTCAAAAACAACTTTATTCGCATCGCTGTTATATATCGCCCACCACCATCTAAATCAAATAAATTCAAGAATTCTGTTTTCTTTGAAGAATGGACCAACTATCTGGACAGTCTCGTGTTGATCCCTGGTGAGTTACTTATCACAGGTGATCTAAATTTCCATCTTGATGATCCCAATGACAAAGATGCTAGAACATTTACAGAGTTGCTAACAGAACATGGATTAAAGCAGCATATTTCCGATGCAACACATCGTCTTGGTCATACGTTAGATGTGTTGATTACCAGAGAAGATAGTTCTATATTACAGGCAACGCCATTTGTAGCAGATCCTGGTATATGTGACAACAATGGAAACAGAAGTGGTGACCACCTCGCAATTCGCACTTTACTGCGTCTGTCCAAAGCTCCGAGAGAGAGAAGAACGGTAACCTTTCGGAAAATTCATGACATCAACATGGACAATTTCAGAAACGATCTTGATTTTTCAAACGTGACTTACAAGGAAGCATCTGTTGAAAAGCTTATCATTCACTACAATAGAGTTCTTACTGCTACCATTGATGTTCATGCCCCTCTGAAATCAAAGGAGATTGTTATACGACCGAATACTCCTTGGTTTACGGATGATCTTTATTCTGCTAAGAGAGATCGCCGGAGGGCTGAACGAACTATGAGACGAACAAACCTAGCAGTCCACAAGGACATTTTCAATCAGAAATGTATGCAGGTTACAAAACTCATACAACACTGTAAAAGTCAGTTTTATATAAACAAAATTCAGGAAATAGGCAGCGACTCGAAACAGCTTTTTAAACTTACCAACAATCTCATGGGAAACACAAATTTATCAGTACTGCCAGAGCATGACAGCGAATTCGATCTCGCATCCAAATTTGGTGAATTTTTTATCGGTAAAATTCAGAAAATCAGAGATAACCTTTGCTCCTTGACCAAGTCTCCTACTATGGAAGTTGTCCTTCGAGCTGACATCAAGTTTGATGGCATTCCTCTGGAAGCGTTTGAACCAGTGTCGATTGCTGAGGTATGTGACATTATCGGCGATGCACCAACGAAGTCTTGCGAGTTAGATCCAATACCCACAAATGTTTTGAAACAATGTTTGGAGAGACTTTTGCCAATCATCACTGAAATTATCAACAAATCCTTCTCAGAAGCGTCAGTACCATTGGATTTCAAAAAGGCCATAGTACGTCCATTGATTAAACGCCAAGGACTTGACAAAGATGAATTCAAAAATTACAGACCTGTTTCAAATTTGCCTTTTTTATCTAAAGTATTAGAAAAAGCGGTGGCATCTCGACTCGAAAAACACCTAAACGCTTACCAGCTTCATGATAACGTGCAGTCGGCCTACCGAAGTAGTCACTCTACAGAAACTGCCCTGCTACGGGTGCACCATGATATTACCTCTGCACTGGATAAGAATTCATGCGTTGCTCTCGTAATGCTAGATCTCTCGGCTGCATTCGATGTGATTGATCATGATATACTAATCAGTCGCATCGAATATGCGTTTGGTATCACAGGATCGGCGCTTTCATGGATAAAGTCTTATTTATCTGGTCAAAGTCAACAAATTGCTGTAGGTTCGACATTCTCGAGAGAGTTCTTATTCCAGTTTGGTGTACCACAAGGGTCTGTTTTAGGACCTCGTCTATATTGTATGTTCTCCAAACCCATCGGAGAAATTTGCCGGAGACATAACATGTATTACCATTGTTATGCTGATGACACACAGGTTTACCTGATTATTAACCCGAAGGACAGTTGGGACGACATTGCGAATAGACTTGAACGGTGTCTGTCTGATATACAAGACTGGATGCAAAACAACATCCTTAAGTTAAACCAGGATAAGACTGAACTCATCATCTTTACACCGAAACGTATGGCAAATGAATTTACAGGACGTAAACTCGCTTTTGGTGGATCAGTCATCAGTAATGCTTCCTGTGTTAAAAATCTCGGGGTATTTTTCGACAGCAAATTAAGCATGGACTGTCAAATCAATTCGGTTACAAGATCCTGTTATTTCCATCTTCGTAACATCGGTAGAATAAGATCACTCATAACAGAGGATGCTTGCAGGACACTTGTTAGATCTTTAGTGACATCTAGACTTGATTATGGCAATGCACTATTTTTTGGCCTCAATGCCACATCCTTGCAAAAGTTGCAGAAAGTTCAGAACACTGCAGCCAGACTGGTGACACGTTTGAGAAAACATGAATATATAACACCAATTCTAATAACTCTTCACTGGCTACCTGTGGCATACCGTGCACAATATAAAATTCTGTTGTACACTTTCAAGGCCTTACAGAAGCTAGCCCCGAAATACATCCAGGAAATTGTTCAGGTCTATCGCCCACAACGTTCACTGCGGTCTGGGGATTCACTGAGCCTTGTTAAACCACGCACTCGAAGTAAGATGTATGGAGATAGAAGGTTTGATGTATCTTCAGCCACCCTGTGGAACTGCCTCCCGCTGGATCTTAGGAAAGAACAGTCACTTGAAGTTTTTAAAAGAAATCTAAAAACACATCTTTTTAGACTCGCCTTTAGTTTATAAGGCTCTAGTCACAATGGAGCATCCAGTTGGTTTTATTTTATAAAAAAGGAAAAGAAAAAAGAAAAAAAATTGCCCTATGATTTTACCTTTTTTATATTGTACCCGTCCTTCCTTTGTTTTATATTGTAATTGTTTTCTACGTGTAAAGCGCTTTAGGGTAATTCCATAATTATATAGGGCGCTATATAAAAGTAGATTAATAATAATAATAATAATAATAATTGAGAAGTATATTTTGGATAAGTACTCATAAAGTGTAACTCAAAATCGCAAAGAAAATAGGGGGTCAGTGTTCATCCTACTGATCTACGGTACATTTAAGTTGACCTTTTTGCACTTAAATTTCATCTCTTTGGTTAATTACTTTAACCCTTATTATATTTGATCAGATGTAAGCATGGCAATATATATAATCTTATTTTACGTAAAATAGTTTGAATAATATTTATCATTAAACGAATCTTGCAAATTATTGCGCATAAATTATTGTGTGACATTTTTGCACTAAAAAATAACATATTTGGGGTATCAAAAAATTTAATAGGCAATAAAAAATTTTCTTATATCAAACTTTTTACGACTTGAGTGCTGATCCGTCACAAGTATCGAGTAGTTTAAAATAATGAAAGAAAAAGGTGGGGTCAGTGATGTTAATTTTGAAATATTCGTCAAAATATGTGATTTTCAGGCAAAAAATGGTGTAGATTTGACCTTGACTTCTTTAACATATTTTCATTTTTTGGAAAAGTTTGTTGAGGGAAGGTGTAAAACTTAGTCTAAAAATATAAATTAAGACCTATATTAGCTATTTTTAGCAATATCAAAACGGAAAATATTCTCCGAGTATAAGTATGTGAGTCTAAATTTCCATTACATTAAATTTTATAAATGTGCAGATTTGCAGAATTTTCTGCTAAATATCCTTCCACCAAAAGAAATAGTCCCTCATAAATATTGCTTCTTTGTAGATTTTTGAGCAGTTTTTTTCATTGAATGTTAAAAAATTTACATTGTTGAATTTAAATGTGTTATAAAAATTGAATTTTAAAAAGCATGTACATCATGTCACTCAGAACCTTTTTTCACACATGAGTGAACAAAGCAGACCCAGAAAGCAGTCCCACAGCAGTCCAGGAATTGTTTTTCTGGGAACTGCTCAGGTGTCAGGTTGGGTCTGGTTGATACTGTAACTCCAACCAATCAAAAGTTTTGGGCAATATTAAAGTTTTGCAGACAAACACAAAAGCAGCTTAACAGACAGGGCAAAAACTATATTTCCCGAATCATCAATAACGGGGGGCATAATAAACATGTTTTTTGTACAGTAGTATTTTTTTTACCTAAGACAGTACCTTTTTCACGTTAACCACATATCAACATTTCTGCCTTTTTTTTATTGGAATTTGAGAAACTATCCCGTTGGAATAATTATATTGATTAATTAAATAAATGATTGTATATTGTTTAACGTCCCTCTCGTGATTTTTTCACTTATTGAGACGCTAAAACTTGCCAGTAAAGAGCTGCAAATTTTTGTTTTATACTCGGCACTCAGGGCCATTGAGCAGGGAGGGGTCTTTTTCGTGTCAGTATATACTGCGACATTGATACGGTTTCATCCAAAGGACCGGTCTCCATGTCCCACAGTGGGATTTGAACCCGCGACGAATGGATCAACTCCTTACTTCGCGACTCTAGAGCAGATGCTCTAACCACTGCGCCACGCGGGCGACTGGAATGAATAGAAGATTGCATACAAAACCTTCCTTACTGTCTTGTTGTGTTAAGCAATGGTAGGTTGTTCAATTTGTTTAACAGGACCATATTTTGTTTTCCAGTTTTCTTTCGGGTTCATATAATACGCAAGTTTCGAGATTATCTCCCTTGGTGCGCTCTTTCGTTGAGGATGGGTGTTTGGTTGCCGCGTAAACCAAAAGGTATATTGCATCATCTATAGACTGGTTTATCGTAACTATATAATTGTAAGGATGCACTGTTCAACTCGAGAATTATCAAATTTAAGTATAGGTGTCATTTTTTAAATTAAAAACTCGAAACAAAAAGAAATTTAGTGGATGTGAGACTATTCAGACTAGAGAAAAGATATATGGACCTCTAATAAATACAGTGAACATGAAACTGATCATTACATGTCGACAATCTTAATGACACTTTGATTTTTTTCCCCTTATTATAACTTCAAAAAACCCACTAACTTTTGAGAGAATGTTTGACGTACAATCAAGAAAATCTTTTAGTTTTTACATTTATTACGTTTTCAAGTACCCTAAAATTGAAAGTAGATTTGTAAATATTTACAGCTGAACTTGATAGAATTATAAAATGCATCACTATTTAACATTTTTATCTTTCTATAACAGTAAATAATTTTAAAAGCCATTAACATCGTTCATTGATTTATGCACGTTTGTATACATAAACAAACTGTCCCACCTCCATGCTGAAATGGATACTTTTTGCGCCTCTATCGCAGGAGAGTTACAATCTCGAAACTGGCGTATTGTAGACAGCTTTTATCCCGTGTAACAATTTTATACAGGAGTCTTTCATTACATTTCCCATTAAATTTCAAAAGTTTTAGAGAAATTTGCAGTCGCTTTCTTTTTAGCCTAGTGGTAGAGCGTTCGCTTCGTGATCGGGAGGCCCGGGTTCGATTCTCGTTCCTGACGCCGCGTCAAACCTAAGACGTAAAAATAGGTGGCTACTGTTCCTTTGCCGAACTCTCGGCATCAGAAGTGAATGTCACAGGTCTTTCGGATATGACCTTAAAAACGTAGGTCCCGTGTCACGATTGGCGCTGGCACGATAAAGAAACCTCACCGCTCAAAGGCCCTGAGTGCCGAGAATAGGTCTAAATTTGGTGCCCTTCACCGACATACGATGACGTCTCCATATGAGTGAAAAATTCTGGAGATGGACGTAAAACAATATACAATCAATCTTTTTTGCACATGTGCGGGATTCAACTCGCAGATACTGTTCTGTTTTCCAGAACGTTGTTTTATCACAATTCTTTTAAAATCTTTAAATAAAAAGCTACCCGTTGAAAAGTTCAGCTTCTAGGCAATCTGATTGGCGGTCACTCTAACTTCTCTGTACAAAACGGTTTTCCTAACTGCAAGTGATTTCTCATTGACCAGCCAGTGATCTAGGCCTTCTTGGCTATTTTATTCTTAACTGAACCCTTGCCGAGTTTTAAACGTTTTATTCATCGATAAATGGTTTTGATAAATGCAACAAAGATTCCATATTATGAAATGAGTTTTTCGAAAAAAAAATTATTTTCCTGTAATATTCATAAGAAAAGGAAATTTGAAATATGACCTGATATTCAAAATCTCCTTTCATGACTTTCCTTCTGTTTTCATGTTAACAGTGTCCACAGGATGGGTCCTAACAAGATGTTCTCTTTGAAAATTCGCTTAATGAATAGACTGTGATTAAGTAACAAATAAATAATCATGAAAGACAATGACTATTTTAGGTGACGTTCCAATTCAATGAAGTATAGCATTTAAAGAAATACATTTAGACTCATTAAATAATGAATAGCTGTCGTAAATGTATTAACATTATTTCGTCAGCAAAATATACATTTTGATCTTCTTGAAGTAGTAAAAATGCATATTGTTCCTACTTTTAATTCTACCACAAAGTAACAAATTCTAGGGTATTGAATGTTGTCTGTTCTCTTTGGTTTTAAATAAAATTACATGAAATTTAATTATTAAGCCTCCGGAACATTCTCCTAATAAATTGATAAAATAATTATTTGATGCATTTCATTTTGCAGATATGTTCACTACAATTGTCCAAAGAAAGCACAAAGGATGATGAAACCACAACTGAAAAGCGTGCCTCTCCTTGGAGCTCCTATTCTTTCATGCACATATATATGTTTGTTTTCTTAGCTATATTCTTTTTATTCCTTGGGGTTATCCTTAGTTACATGTTGAAACTCGAAAGTAATTCAGGTAAAACTGAAAAAGATTTAGAATTAACCGCAATGGAAGATATTAAGATGTATTTAGAGGAATTCAAAAGAGACAGTGAAAGACCTTGGAACTATATACCAGATGAGAAAAATGACAAAAAAATTAAAATGATGAACCAAATTATGGAAGCCTTACGGGAGATTAAAGAGGATCAAAAGCAAAATCAGAAGTCTTTGGAAAACATATTGTGGGGAATGGAAGAAATTGTTGAAAAATTTTCTGAAAAGTTCCAGGATCTTTCAAAAGCAATGTCTAATATTAAAATCAATAGTCAGCAACAAACAGAAAAGGCAAGCAAGGAAAGAGAGGGAAACGAGATTAAAGAAAGCATATCAAACCGTGGTAAGACTCTACTTATGTATACCATGTTTAACTGTTTATTATAATTTTTTTTATCATATATATATATATATATATATATATATATATATATATATATATATATATATATATATATATATATATATATATATATATTTACTCCGTATACAGGTGCTGAAGGTAAATTGCTGCATAAAGTAAGGGAAGTTGACGGTAGAAAAGTTAAATTCATCACGTGTATCATGTAGCTTAATTGTTAGATTACCATTATCCAAGTATGAAACAGATGTGCCAGACTCTGTCTGTCCATAAAAATCCTTTTAAGGCTTCATAAACAAAGGTTAAGGATATAAGGTTTTTGCCCTGTCTGTCTAGCTGTTTGTCCGCTAAAACTTTAATCTCATAAGATAAAGCTATGGCTTCCATATTTCACCTGTGTATTCCTTGTGACAAGATTTGTTGAATTGGGTAACAACATATTTGACCTCTTGATATGGGAGTTTGACCCACCTATGCAAAAAATTACTAAACTTTAACCTTTGCGGTAAATTTTGAATAGCTGGTGCTAGAGATTTTGTCTTTCAAGTATTTATTTCCTTTTAACAAGACCTTTACATGAGTGAAAAAAATTGACCTTTACCACTTCATAATTGAACCTACTTTTGAAAAAGTTTACTTTTGAATAACTTTTTAAGATTTAGAACTAGGACCTTCATATTTTACAGATGCTTCCTTTGGATATGAACAATTTTGGCCTTTTGACCTTCACCTTGGAATTCCTCTTAAACTGTATATTCTAAATACTATATAACTTTTGAAAAGTTAGTGCATTTAAATATTTTACATGCATATTTCTTAAGACAAGAAGATCTCCAATATAGCTTTAATTTGACCATTTGACATCAATCTTTGATTGTGACTCACATTTAACTAAAATATTAAACTTTTGAACCGTTAGTGCTTTGGCTTTGTATTTCACATTCATTGAGACTATTCCTTTCTTTGGGTAACAACATTTTTTTTCATTTCTTGACTTTGGGGTTTGATTTGCATTCGATAAATTGCCATATGAAGGCACCAGTGTTTCACACACGCATCCTGTTTTAATACATTATTCGTCTCTGTGTATTGTCTGATTTTTATTCTATCAGCAATAATTATGGATTTGAAAAAAACACTAAATATTCTATCTATTTTTTTTTTCTTAACATTAAAGCTGGTTTTGCGATTCCATGAAATTCTATAATCCTCTTGAAATCGCACATTTCTAAGACTCTGTCGATCAATTAACAAATAATAAACAGTAAACAAACTTATATTCCATGAAGAAATACAAATTAATCAAACATGGATCTCTGAATATAGAAATAAAAATAGAACTGGGATCAGGTGAACTTGAGTAGTGAGCAAACCCTTTGAAACAGTCGCGCCTGTTGTTGTCATGTTCAGACAAACTGAAAAATTCATAGACACTTCAGTATAAAAATAATAGCTTATTTACAATTTGTTTGAAAAACAACATTTGACTTTGTGATACATGTATATTGATATTTGAAAACAGGGTCACTGTTTCGATCATAGCATTTTCAAAACATTGACTTTTAACGAGATTCTTGATATTCTTATATCATCAGTTTATTTGACAGTAGCCTTCCTCGGTTGTTTGAATTAATAAACTACTTTATCTATAGAGATCTGTTTTGCAGTGAGGAAATTCTACATTTTGCATCTACTTACATTTAATTTGACCCGAGATTTACAAGTTCTTCTCGCTAATTTTGCATTGTGTGTGCTCTAGTGCCTAGATTATTAATGTAATCACTTAAGAAATGTTTAATATGCTGTTGTCGTTCCATGTTTGTCTATAAAATGCTTACAAAAAAGTGTCAAGGGATATTATTTTTCTAAACTTCCATGCAAGTATATTTATTTTTTTTATGTTAAAATCAAATTTCCCTAATACATGTACAACGTGAAAGGTGACGATAACGAGCATTGATAAAACTCATAAACCAGATAAGGAAAAAGTCGTGAATAGATCAAAAGTAATAGCTATTGAGACACCAGAGAAAGGTCAGGTGCCTCGGAAGAGTAGACATCCTCTGGCGCCCGTTAAACATTATCTACCAGGATGACGGAATAATCCATAGTTATTTTTGTAATAAAAATAACAACTGGTATTGAACATCCATTTAATTTGTGAATAAGATATTGGTTGTATCATTTGCAAACTACGTCATATTATAACATTTATCGCGATATGCATGCCTGTAACGACACATTTATTTTGTTTGCCACAAAAAAATAATTGTATTCAGAGCCTGCTTGTCATTTCGTTAGTAGACGTAAACATGAAATATAGATGATAGTGGAATTATAGAAATAGGGTAATTCGTTTTGATTTCATTGGGATATATCGAGTCCAAAAAAGAATGCGAAACAAGAATTGCTGCTTGAAACAATGTCAACATTTTTTTTTTCAAAAGTCATAGAAAGTATTTTGTTCCCAGGCAGAGTTGCCTGCGTGGTGCAGTGGATATAGTGTTTGCTCTAGAATCGCGTTGAAGATGCCTCACTGCTCAATGGCCTTAAGTGCCGAGTAATGGACAAAATTTGCATCTCACCGTCGACAAGTGGTGGCATTTCCATATGAGTGAGAAATTCTCGAGAGGAACATTAAAACAATGTAAAATCAATCTTTTCAGGCATATGTTTTATTTTATTTTTATTTTTCAAAATAATTCATATGCTTTTTATATTTATATCCAAATTGGTCGGCTAATAAAGGGACGCAATCACAGCAAAAAGCCAAAATGTGTTGGAAATTCTTACTTTTTTATGATTATTTCATTTATGCATGTGATGTCAATCAGAAACTCCAGTATCATATTGATATCAACATTAGAGAACTTGAATATAGAAATGAAATGATATTTCACTGTAAGTTATCAGATGACAGAGCTATGAAACTATGTTTCACACTGTCACTATGAAAACTTACTGGTTCTCTTTCATACTTTTTTATACTCCAGGTCCTTAAAGGCCCTTCACCTGTGCTCCAGTAAATTGACATCGATACAGGAACATCCCATACTAAGGGAGGTGTCAGCAAACGATCGTGTTATTGCCATTGATCAAGAATTATTGGAATGTAATTACTCTCACCATTGAAACATTTGTAATGTGTGAGTGTTCCGTTGATTTTAATGATACATGAAGACTTATAAATTACTGTGTACCAAACTCCATTCTGAGAAAATAGTTGTAAGTTTTCTTTTTTCAAGGGTTTATATTGCCATCGTACATAATGATATCTGCAACGTAATTTTGAACTCTATTTTCATATTTCAAGAATCATTCAAAGTAGAAATAATTGAGGGCCCTTTGTGTAATGTAATGTTGTCTGGTAATACTGTTAACTTTTTCTGACTCGAATTTTGGAAAAATACCTGCTGGAACTTTTTTGTAATTTTTTTTTTAAAAATACTATGAATACTCTCATCATTTGATTTTTCTTGAAGTGTACATTTATTTTTTTTTCAAAGAACGTGTGATGGAATTAAGCACACATCTTGAAAAATTCTCAGTGGATAAGTACATTGTTAAGAATATGTACATGTATGTTGCTTGTGTCCTTCATCTTGTTCATGCACTTTATTGCTTTGTGTTGTATGTCACAGCATTTGAAGTTCATGTTCACTTATATTTACCAATATTTTTGAATGGATTGGGGGAAATTATTGTCTAATGTATTTTAGTTATTTGATAAGGCGTGTACTGAGACAAATTAGTCTCAGAAGTAGAGATAATATTCAATGAAAAATAGTTAAGAATAAAAAAAAAAGTAAAGATAAAAAACAGCGATCAATCTCAACAAATCTTCAAACAATACAAAGAAGATAAGATTTTCGTGCTTAACCAGTTTTTCTTTATAGAAGCAATGGACTTTGCATACTAGTTAAAGATTTGAAAAAAAAATTGCGCCTGCATAGTTTTGAAAGAGGGGACTTTAAGGGTTTTTTTTCAGTAGTTTGTTTATAAGCTACTGATAAGATCATTAGGAGTGAGCATCCGATGCAATTTAATACTAAACTGTATGTGTAAATGAAAATTTATGTTAGAATTAGAAATAGCACCAAGCAGCTTTATTTTCTTTTTCACACGTTCCTATCTCAAACTTCCTATCGCCTAAAAAAACTCCTCCTTGCTTTTAAGGTAGGATTCTTCTCTTATTTCTTGTATTTAAAATTAATGAATTTTCACAGAATCAAGAAGACAATAAAAGTAAGTGTTAATATACGCAGTTTGATTAAATTTGACCGTTTCAATTTACAGGCAATGTCAGGTCAAAGTCATTATCTTTTCCTTGACATTAAGAATAAAACAGTACTGCTGCCAATCATATGATGCCTATTTCTATTTCAAAAGTTTAAAGCTTGTTTTTGCATAAAAAGATATTACTTTATCGGGTCTATAGCATGATATTACCAAAGAGTGCTATAGACACGATATAGTAATATCTTTTTTAGTCCCCTACCGGTGAAACCGATGGGGACTATAGGTTTCCTCTGCATCCGTCCGTCTGTCTGTCTGTCCGTCTGTCTGTCCCCGTCTGTCCCACTTGGTTTTCCGCACTTTTTTTCTAAACGCTGGCAGATATTGTGCTGAATTTTGGTAAGTGGGTGTATCTTTATGAGTTACAGATCAAGTTTGAATATCGTTGCGATTCAATGATTTTTAACGGAATTACGGCTTTTTCAATTTTTCAGGGTTTTCCGCACTTTTTTTCTAAACGCTTGTAGATATTGAGCCGAATTTTGGTATGCCATTTTATCTTGATGAGTTACAGATCAAGTTTGAATTTTGCATAGCTTCATTAATTTTTGACAGAATTATGGCATTTTGAATTTTTCACATTTGTTTAATGAAGATCGG